CTACGTTTCCAATTCGCTTTGCTACCACTTACTAATGGCCATTGCATTGTGCTTGTGCTTTTGGACTTGTGCTTGATCTCGTTCGACTTGACTGCCAATTACGCCGTAAGTTGTCCGTTTCGCAATATCAATAATATCACTGCAAGCACGGGTCAAGCTATTTACGAGCTGGCACTTGGGGTATGGCGCATTACCGCACCCTGACAGAGGCAGGTACAGGGCAGGGGGTGGTGGTGGGCAGGGGTAGGTAGGATTCGTTTCAAAACATATGTTTTCTGTTTTTAATCTCGTATGTAGCTCAAGATTTGTTTACCTGGGTTTATAAACGATATTGTCCGATGCGCCACCTAAGTAGCTAGCTAGCTATGTACTTAGCTACATGTAGTTACATGTATGTATGCACCTCTCCACTTCTACACCTCTCCATCTCACGATAAAACCGTACCACCAGCCAAACAGCAAAACAGCCCAGATCCACAATTGATTGTGCCTCTCAGAAACGAAACAAAACCTCCAAATTAAAATAAAAAAACCCGTTACCTGTCTCTACCCCCAGCGCCCAGGATACCCCTTCACCTCCCTTCGATCCACCCCCCAATCCCTCCATCTATCCGTTAGTCAGGCACAGAAAACCCGAGCAAAATACCCTTCTCCCTGCACACGCATACCCGCTAGCCCACACAGGGAAATCCCGGAGATTCGGTGCTAGGGGGAGTTATTGCTCTCTATAGCTATCCTCTGTGTTAACTAATACATGGACATAGACATAGAGTAGGTAAGTAGATAGAGTAGGTAGGACATGGTGCGGCGCCGGTAGGTGGGTGGGTGCTGGTGGTGATCGTCGTGTCTGTGGGCTTTCCAGCTGGGTTTTCCATTTCCGGGCGTCCTCACGCACGCACGTACGCTGCTGGGTTAGCTGGCGGTACGGTGCGGTGGGTTAGCTACAAGCAGCCTTTGAATGCTGGAGAAGCGACATGATACTGCACTGAGGAACAGCAACAGCAGTGCAGCAAGCTGGAAGAGTGGGAGAGAGTTACTGTCTGAGGTTGATAGCGCAGTGGTCTGCTCTGATCTGCTCTACCGCACAGCTTCACTTTTTACTGTTTCTCGGCGTCTTCTCTCTCTGGGGCTAGCTGGCCAGCCAGACAGACGGGATGCGCGGTCTACAGTAGAGTCAGTAGAGTCAGTAAAGTGGGAATGCGCTTAAAGTTCAACGGTGCTGGCTGGCTGGCTGGCTTGCGGGTGAAGATCCCTTCCCTCCCTTCCCTTCCCTTCCCTTCTTTCTGTGTGTGGTGGTCCCGGGGATTTGGGTCAAAGACCCTTCCTGGCCGCGGTTTGGGATTCGAAAACTTCAAGATCAGGAAAGTTTCATGGAGCATCACTCATGCTCATCTCGTTAACGAACCCCAACAACAGTTGCAGCGCAACAGCAACATTAACAACAACACACGGACCGGAGAAGGCAGCTAGAAAGACGTCTCTGGAATTTGAGTCGAGATAAAATAGAAAAAATACAAATACAGGAACGTGGTTTTCCGGTAGTTTTTTGGGGGGGGCGGACGGACGGACCTCCTCCCCCATTTCTCGTGGTCGGTATTATAATTAATGTTAATGTTAATATAATGTTAACGAGGGCTAGGGGGGGATATTGGGGGAAATCTGCTGTAGCATGATTTGATTTCTACCGATATATTGGGCAGCTAGCCCTGGAGATTGACGCCGAATTCAATTCCTCGTGCCTCTCAGTGTAAGGTAGGTAATAAACCAGCAAGATTCCCAATTCCCATCCCTGAGGCCCGCCCCCTGCTCCCTCTGCTCTCGTGGCCGGCCGGACCTTCCCCCATTCCCATTGACCCCAGGAGATTGTAGAAACATATGGGTCCTGTATTACGAATTGACCATAGCGGTCGACACTTGCAATACCTACTCTAGCTTGACACCCCCCCCCCCCCCCCTTCCCATATCGTACCATCCCACTCTATACCCGCACGTACGCCCGGCCGCGCGACCTCAGCTCAGCTGTCTGGCAGTCCCCAATATTCGTCTCGGGATCTCCTGTCTAGCTCGTGTCTCGGGGACGCGGTGCGTGGGGGCCGGAAGCTGGACGGGTACATATATGTACATACATGGCCCCCATATTTTCTGTACATGTGTAGCTGAGCTTTAATTGTTAAGCCCGGGCATGGCCCACCCTCACCCTTACCGGCGGTCGTGATTACGCGTTTATTCGATCCTGTTTGGTTTGCAGTGATGGTGGATGGGGATGGGGATGGGGATGGGGATGGGGATGGGGATGGGATGGGATGGGAGATGGTGAGATGTGCCGTTATGCACACACGTTATGCTATGCTATGCTATGTATGTGATGGATGCTACGCTATGCAGCCCCCAACGGCCGTCACGGAAAGCTTAGCCCTCTTACATAGCAACTGCTACCTACACGTAGATTACCAACAGCTGCTCTCCATATAAACTGCCCGTACGTCACGACACAGCAAGAAGACGCGTTGCGTGCAGGGAGCTCACTATAGACGTGGTGAGTAAACACAAATTAAAAGCCAAACCAGACCCAGGGAACAGTAGGCACAGCGGGTAGTGACCTACAGACACTCCCTCCCGACCTTTTTACCCTTCCTCCCGGGATCCCTCCATGCCTCCCTTCCGTCACGATTTGTAATACGACAAACCGTCCCCACAAACCTAGCTGGGTAGGGAGAGTAGAATAGAGTACTTAGCTAAGGTAGACCGATTTAGCCACACAAACCAGTGCCCAGAATAGAAACAGAATAGCTTTGAATTCTGCCGATGCGATCAATCGACCCGGGTCTCTACTCCTCCTCCTCCTCCTCTCTACCCTACTCATAGGCGAGCCGTACGCGTGTGGTTGTAGTTTGGGCCTGGTTTGGTTGCATGTGTTTTATTTTAGGTGTGGCGCAAAACCGAGTGACACCCCGTGATCCAGCGCACAAACAGACCAAACTGCCAAACAGATCGAACGGAACAGTACGCCTTGTCTATTTATTTTTACGGATCAAGTTCTTCCCGAGATTCTGAAACATTGAGCTTAATGTATGGACGGGTGCATTGGCCAGCGACTATGGATGAGGTGGGTGGATGGGTGGTTGGTGCCGGGTGAGAACTTTAAAATAACCTCATCGGGGGTTTTGACTCATGATGCGTTACGTTACGTTACGTTACGTTGCGTTTATATGTGATTAGTAGTACTTGGGGGGGGGGCAGTTGAGGAGAGGTGTTTGCCTGGGCGCAGCAGAGGGGAGGGGTAATAATAGTTGTTGGGAGTCTAGAGAGGGTCATGAGATGATTGCTGGCTTTAGATCTAGATGGTGTAGTTGGAAGGAGACAGGTATACTTTAATTTCTTCAGAGATGACGATGATGAAAGTACCGTGCCGTACACGTCATTACATGCCTTCCATCCATCCGTTCAGCTGGACTATTCACCACTACACAGTATTGCGCACTCTACCAAATCTTGAGTCTGTTTCCTCACTGCTAACTATGCCAGTCCTGTAGTTCCTGTAATTCCCCAATTACAACTCACCATAGCCACCAGCCAGCCAGCCAGATAGGTAGACCAAACTGTGGCATAAGCTCCCGCCAGGCACAAACTCCTATTCCCATCCCCAATCCAAGCTCCCTGACTGAGACCGTATACCAAGCCATTTCGCGAATACGAGACCCCAACTAGCTCCATGTAGCTGGCACTTAAGCTTGATACACATAGGGCGTCAGAAGCTTAATTGATATCCAGGACCCGCGTACCTGCCCAGCTACGGAGCCAGCTCCGGGGCCTAGGCAGGCTTGTTTTTTCTCGTCTCTTTGTGCCACATCGCATCTGGGGGAGGAGGGGGGGGAAGCCAATAATGGAGCTTGGCTTTCGTTTCCTTCATGTAAGGAACGGCACGTTGGGCTTCTTGCGAGGCGTATTTTCACTGGAGATGGGAGGTAGGTAGGTAGATATTATGAAGCTCCTGCTGCGCGAAAAGACTAAGGTCATCTCGGTGGAATGTTATTCCAGGTGTACGTATGTATGTTAATTATGTAGTGTTGAGGGAGTGAGGAGTGAGGAGTGGAGATGTAGCAGGAATGAAAGGGATCGAGGAGGTGTAGGAGGAGGAGGAGGGAGAGTACGTATGTTTGTTACACTGGTGGATATGCTTGATTGTTTTGTTGGGCTGCGCGCTGGGAGCTTTAGGTAGGAGGATGGTGGAGAGGTAGGATGGTATTTACCAAGCCTCATGATCATTTCAGGGTGTTTATTAATTATAAACACCCCCCTGCACGGCTTAATCCAACAAGCGAGAATCATGTAGATTGGGAGTCATCCGAGTGATTAGATGCAGGTATCTAGAGAAAGTGAGTGGGTAAGTGAGCGAGAGTGCAGTAATAATGACATGAAGGGGAGAGGATTGATCGTGAGTACGTATGTTTCGGTGCTCACAGATTAACTATACGAGCTCGAGAAGCAGCACATGCACAGCCCCGTCTGGATGTGTACGTAATGCGAGTGAGGCTTTGCAGGTGGAGGAGGAGGAGAGCTATCTATCGTACTTGCTAGCTATGCGCAGTGCGAGTACGAGCAAGTAGTAGCAGTAGTAGTAGCTCTATAGCTGTTGCGGTGAAATGATTGATTCTCCCGGTTCCCTCCCACCATCACCACCCATGACCGATCCTCCTCATCCCTAATTCCTCCTCTGCTGCAACGGCCTCTCCGCCCGTTCGGTTCGGCACCATCCATCCAGTCAACTTAGATACCTGCCTGCACATAGCTGCACCTCGGGGCAATCTGTCAATGTCTATTTATCCGCATCCCGCCCGCCGTCCCCGGATTTCTAACATTGAACGTCATTGAGATATAATACAGCGAGTTAAACCTGATCTTTTTGGATATCTTTTTTTTGGACTACCTATAACACAACAAAGAACCAACCCTCATAGCCATTATATCCAGTAGAGAGAGAGAGAGAACTGAATATAACTATGAGCGCCCACACTGCAGCTTCAACTCAACACTCCCATCACGACGATAGCGATGGCGCTAACAACTCGAATTCCGGCAAGGTATGATGATACTGTCTCCGTTGTGCTGCAGCACCCTTCCTTTATCTATAGTACGCCGTACTATCGGCGCTGTACTAAATCCCCGACAGACACTCGTCTCTCCGGGGAAATACCTGGGATCGATAGGACCGTAGCTAACAGGCGCTGTACTTCACAAACAGCAGGGCGAACGACACTCGGCGCGAAATCCGGCCTGCGACTTGTGTCGCGAGAAGAAGGTATGTCCCTGTCTGTCCTCTCTCCTCAATATCGCCCCTCTCTCCACACACCCCTCTCCCCCTCAAATTAATTCCCCGCGGTTGGTTGTGTGGTGTGTGTGTGTATGTGCTAACTGCATCGGTCGACGACGTCAGGTACGATGTGGCCGCGAGAAACCAACCTGCCAGAACTGCATCGCATGGAAGACGCCCTGCACATATTCCGAGCGACAGAAGCGCGATAACGAAGCCTCCCGCAAGTACGTCTCCTCCATCTTCACGGCCGGCATCTCGGGTCTTCCGGGGATCCCGGGGGTCTCGGGGGTGTATAGTAGAGGTGGTGGTAGTAGCTAACAGAACCTCCCTGAACGCAGTGCCCAACGTTTCGAAGAGGTCCACGACCGCCTCGACCGCATCGAGTCCACCATGAGCCGTCTCCTGACAGCTTTCGAAACCGCCCAGTCCCTCCGGACCCCCGCGCCCACGCCCCCAGTGTTCCGCCCGACACCCCTCCCTGGCCTGGGCGCAAGCTCCCCGAATGACCCTGTCCGAATCCGCCCCGGCGAGTACTCCCTGCGCCTGCCGAAACCGGCAGATCCCCGGCGCGACATGCAGTATCTCGGCCCTTCGAGCATGCTCGGAATCTCGATTGAGGCTGGGTCACTCGCCGAGGAAACGCTACGGCAAAAGTCGCCTGCAGCCGGCGGCGGCGGAGAGGGAGGCCAGGCGGATGCGATGGAGGAAATGGCAGGGGGCGCAAAGAGTAGCGAGCAGGTTGAGACGATTGGCGCGCTCAAGAAGCTGTCCAGTATATCGTCAAATGTGGCGAGCTGGTTTCCTTATTATGGGCATGCGGAGCTACGGCTGGGGGCGGGAGGGGCGAGTATGGCGATTCCTGAGAGGGAGGAGGCGGAGGCGCTGGCGAACGGTATGGATATGTATCGGTGGAGAGAATTTGCCCATCTTCCTTGATCACCGTTTTGGTGGTCAAGGAGTGATAGGGATGCTAGGAGGAATCTCAGCTGATATGTGCCGGTGCGAGAACAGAATACTTCCGCAAAGTCCACGTCTGGTTCCCTATATTCGACGAAGCCCGCTTCCTGGAGAATATGGCGAAATACTATGACGGCGACCCCAAGTTATCAAACGACCGCGCATGGCTTGTCTGCTTCAACAACGTCCTCCTCTTTGGAGTCTTCAACAGGACGACCTCGCGCCAGCCTGTCGAGCCCGGTATCGGACGGAGTTTCTTCCTGAACGGGTGGGCGGCGATTGATGACCTCGAGGTCTTCCTCGCCCCAAGACTCACCAATATACAAGCACTGCTCACAGGCGCGGTCATTGCCATTGAAATCTCGAGACCGGGTCTCTGCTGGTCGCTGTTATCGCAAGCTGCAAGGCTCTCACAGGCGATCGGGCTTCATCGCCGCACACCGAGTAACACGCAGTACACAAAGTCAGAGCTCCAGGAGCGGCGATGCATCTTTTGGAATGTCTATGTGCTCGATAAGTGTCTCTCGCTGACCTTTGGGCGCTCCACATGTCTCCCGGACTTTGATTGCGATACGGAGCTGCCGGAGGACGACGGGACCAGCCCGTACTTTAAGAATTTCCTCGCACTGATCCAGCTGGCCAAGATCCAGAGCAACATCTACGTCCGCCTGTACTCTGCATCCGCTGCGCGCATGACCGACGAAGAGCGGGACAATAACATTGCTACTCTCGACCTCGAGCTGCGCAACTGGTGGGCGGAAAAGAAAGCCATCTTCACGCCCGAAACCGGCGCCTCTGAAAAGCCACTTGATGTATTCTCGCGTCTCGAGCTGCGGTTCAGCTATCTCTGTAGCTTGACACTAGTGCACCGCACTGCGCGCCCCGGAGCTGCGAGTGAGCGCGTGTGTCTTGAGAGCGCTCGAGAGAGTATTGTCATCATTAACGAGGTTGTGGAAAGCAGCTTTGATGTCGCCAACAGCGGGATGATCATGTGGTCTGTTGTCCCCTCTCTGCGGCTTCTGCTTCCTTCGCTGACCGCCGCTGGACGGGCCAACAATAGGTTGTTCCAGTACTACCCGTTCACCGCCTTTTTTGTACTATTCTCGGCCATTATCAGAAATCCGTCTGCACCAACGTCAAGGGAGGTGGATTTCCAGCTTATGAAGGGCCTTGTGAGCTATTTGGGGAGGATGAAGGAGAAGAACGAGGGCGCGGCGAAGCTGCTGCAGATTGCGTCGGCGTTTACGCATGTGGCAGGGACGTTCCTGAAGAACTATGGCAAAATTGAGCAGCAGCGGGGCGGGGAACACGCCGGTAAGCGGCGGCGGAGAGATACGGGGAGCGAAGGAGAGGAAGGTGGCGGGATTACGCCCGAAGAAGGGTGGCTGCAGGAAGGGGGCAATGACGGGCATAAGGTCTTTGTGAGGGGATATGGGAAGGGATTCTGGGGGACCACTGCGTTTCCACGGGACCAAGTGGAGCAGGTCTTCACGCCTGAGACTGCCAGCACTCTTGCTGCTTCTACTGGCACTGGTACATCAACCACTGCCACGGGCACGGCGGCCCCGACACCGGCGGCTTGGGCGCCGGCGGGGGAGGTAGATCTGCATCCGGCGAGCTTCTTAAAGTGGCCGGGGGCGGAGGCGCCTCATGGACAGCTGCCAATGGATATGGGGGTTGATGATGCTGCTGCGTTTGATATGGACCTGACAGCGCTGATGGAGGAGCCGGAGGGCTTCCAGATGCAGATGGAGCAGGCGGCAATGAGGGGACCGCTAGAGTTTGATTGGTTTAGTTGGGAGGGATCTGCAGGTGGTGTTTAAATAGACCTACTAGTTTAGACATTCTTTGGTTTTCGAGTTTGGGTCGGGAGAGGGCTTTAATGGGTGTTTGGGGGGCGCTTGTATTGTGATTCTGTAGATATTCTTTTAGTGGTCTTTAATTCTGCGTTAGGAATGTGAACGCTCTTCTCTCTTCTAGATCTTCTTCTTTGCTTTTGATATTGATGGGAATGGATAAATTCATTTATTGTAATGATATCGATATATATATGCATATGAGAAGCAGTCCGAGGATTTGTTGTGATCTGTAGATGCGAGAATGGATGTATGTTGAAACTAGAGAAAGATCAAGAAGTGGTCTGATTGATGAATACTTGTATGTATCATGTACATGTAGCTATGTAGACACCGGAGTCTATCAGGCCACAATGTCCAACACGAGTGATCCTCTGTGATCACATTTCTCCTGCTGAAGTTCTCATAAGTTAAGAGATGCTAATGGGACTGTGGAGATACTAGAGATCGGTGAGAGTCATCGATTGGATAAAGATCGTAAATGTGTGCTTTTGCCCCGGTGTCAGTTATCTAGGTAGTCTCGTTCCCAGACCTTTGTCATGCCATGATCAGTACTCGTTCCTCGTTGTACTATAGGCATAGTCTGGGCACGTGACTATCGGTTACCCAACCAGGGCTTGTATCTACATGTATTCTTTCGCTCGGGTGGGTAACTCTTGATCCGCTCTTCCTCAACGCCACCCTTTTATCAACTTTCCGCCAAAATAGTGCCCAACACCGCCTTTCTCATCATGGACGACCATAACTTAAGCTGATAAACAGGCCTGGCACCACAAGAGCAGTATATCTATGAGAGACTGAGATATATAACTAGTTTTGTTCCTTTGCCGGGGAAGGCCATCGCTCCGGCATCATGATCAGGTTCATACCCCCTTCACTGCAATCTCGCTTCGATAAACACCTACTGACTAAATAAATCGATTTCCTCGTCACAGTACCCGAGAAGCAGAGAGCGCGCAGATCAGGAACTTCATGTGCTCCCTGACAATCTGGTGGATGCCGAAAACGAGTGATATTTGATGATCTCGTTTCTCCGCTGTATCAGTCTCGGCGTCCTGGGCCCTAATCAGGGTGTGTACGTAGGTCTACACAGGCTCTTTACTCTTCAATGGTTTGCATTGTCTGGAGTGGGCCTGGCTATCATAGTACTTGAGACTTCCCTCCTCCCGAGGCGTATGTCTCGCTCGGTGATCTTACTTAATTGGAGCTTTATCTCTGATCCTTAACATTCGCGTTGAGTAGGAAAAGCTTGGCCGAGTGATAGATCATGATCAAAATGTACCATTTAAATCAAGGGTACATTGGGATGATTAGGTATTGGGCCCAGATCATGGAAGATGGTACTTATATAATGTTACGAACTCATTACTCTTTCCCTGTCTCGGTCACAGGTGATATCCGTGATTTTACTTGATGTTCGCAACCATATCACTCGGTTTTTCTATCGATCGAGGGTTTTACTGGATTTGATTTACTCCTGAATTGAGACATCTATGGTAAGGGTATTGGGGTATCAAAAGATATGACTGATTAAGAAGATATAGGGAAAATACGAGACTATATAATGAAGCGGGTTTCGCAATTGGCCTGGGAATTCCGGCACCTCGAGAAGAGGAAGAGTTGTATCGAGTTACGTACCTTTGACTCATAGGAGATCCGTCTCGGATTACCTCGAGTCATACCTATATACTAATCTCAATATTAATCGAGATTTTGACAACACTTATGAAAATAGAAACTAATTGTAAGTGACCATGGGTTCGTGCAAGAGTTGTCGGTTAAAAAAAAAAAAATAGGAGAAATTGACTTCTGTTTCCAGTGTATTTCAATTGTCTGGGTGGAAACAGGGGTGATTAGATGCCTATCCTCGGAATCTTTTCGACAGTTATTGAAGGCCCGTGAACTGGCTCGAGTCGGAAATACTTAGTGCACTAAGGTGTCGGTATCGTGTGGGTACGCTTCGGACTAGTGCTTCATGCCGTATACCACGAAGCACGAAGTACCTCGGCCTTATGGAGCGCGCCGGCCCGAACCCGGTTGTTTCGCTCACAAAATTGTCATTTTCGTCTCTAAAAATAATTAATCGCGGTTTCCACACTGTTGCCTAGACTCCCGGTGTTGTCTTGCCAATACTTCCCAAGGTTAGGGTTTCACGAGGAATCGTCCGATCTCTGGGGACACCTTCGTATACCTAGCCTTCTCTATAAGTCTAACGAAGAGGGATGCTGAATTTTGAATCCTACAAGCTGTTCTAAAATTATTTCTGTAAGTAATTTGCATGTTAATGACGTGTTTCTAGGCCTTGTGGTTTCTTACTAGAGGAACGGATCTTAAAGAGTCCCTTTTGGAAACACAAGGCTACGAATGGGCCCATTTAAGAACAAGGCAATGCGGGATTTACACCTGGTCATTATTCTATATAGTGTGGCTCTCGACTTGAACGAACTCGAAAATATCGAACAATTCTAGGAGGTTGTGTATGGGTCTAAAGTCCGGCGTCTCGCATCCTATCCACCGAGCCTAGCTCAAAAGCCAGGAAATGATCATAGTGCATGGATTGAACGACACTTCATTGTAGCCATGTTAGCCTAATCACATCAACACGTCTCAATATTGATGGAAGTGCACTTCGCTGACTGATCACTTCCAACGAATCAACATAAGCAATAACTAATCGTAATTAGAGAACTGCACTTGCAGCAAAAAGGTATCAGTGAAAATATCAAATTAAACCTTGACCCCGCACAACAACGCAAAAAAGAAAATAATTAGGAAAGAAAAAAGGGAAAAAAAAAACATAAGACGCAAAACACATTCTATCCAAGCTCTAAGAGATCCGTCTGAAGAATGCCTCGTACTCTTCCTTCGTCTTGAAGTGCGGAGGTCCCCGTGGCTTCTTCGAGTCCCTCCTCTCATTCGAATCACTCCCATCTCCCGGCGGTGAACTAGAGGTGCTGCCATCTAGATTAAAGGTTCCCATCGGGGGAGGCTCCGGAACCAGGAACCTCCAATTCTGTGGAAAGAACTTTGAAAGCGTGTACTCGTCTCGCCCGATGACCTTCGACTCCCCGCCGAACGGCACTCGAAACCGGTCAAGGATGTGTCGCGTCAGCTCGTTAGTCGGTGAGAAGCTGGGAAGGAAGTGGGATCTCTCGCTGAAGGTGGAATTATCCTGGTCGAAGCGACGCTTTGAGCCGGCTGATTGGGGAGAGCTGCCAGCGGTGTCGTCGGGTACGACGACGAGGCGCCGAAGCGCGACGAGGATGTCGAGAAAACGCTGAGCAACGAGGTCATAGACAGCGCAGACCTCGAGGGCGCCGATGCACTTGTTGAGGAGGTCTTGGTCTTGGACTTCGGTTTGTTTCCCGGCGTGGGAGCTGCCGTCAGACTCTCCAGATGAGAGGCAGAGAAGGACTATGAGCCCGGCAGTGTATGCAGCTTGTCTATTTGATCATGTCCCGTCACGTCAGCCAAAAACGTTTCTCTCTATATATGTCAAGGATGGGGAAGGAATTTCATACATCAGCATCCAGCACCTCCGAACTATACGACCTTCCGAGTGCAACAATCCAACAACCTCCCAAACAGTCAGCGCCTTAGCTCCCCCGACATAAATAACTTTGGAAAAATCCGCAAAATAAAGTAGGGAAGTAAAACCGTTGCAAGCTGCCTGCCTGCAGACACACACATTCGAGCATATTCATCTGCTACCGCCATCCTGGCCAGGCCGTCGAGGCCCTCAAATCGTCCTTCCAGCCTCTCCAGGAGGATGCGCCGTGTCAGTAGTATTATGCAGCTGAGGTAGGAGCTGTGCGCCAAGAGTATCGTGGACCGCTGTTTCGAGTCATTCCCGGAAACTGCTCTATGTAGTCGCAGTGACTCTGGCAGCGATGAGTGCCATGTCTTCAGCCGGGCAGAATAAACAGCCACCTTGTTGAACTCGATAAATGTAGGGGTGTAGACATCTTTCGTGATGGAGCCCATGAGGATTGAGAGCTTAATGACTTCAGCGTGCAGATAGGCGTCCAAATCGTTCGTGCATGTTCGATAGCCCTACAACCCGTGTTAACTCCGAGATCTAAAAGGAAAGTCAAGCAACTACTCACCTCACCATAAATCGGGTCCTCCCCATCACATATCGTCGGGATATTACCCAATGATCCAGAGAGCCAGCTAACAACGTGATTTCCCGCATTAGTATGTACTCGATTCAACTCAGACCGGGCGGACATAAGCTCCGTCCAATGGAACACTCAATGGAAGGGATATCTACCCGTCCAGAAAAACCAATGATCCCCACACTCTTTTCCACGAGGCCCATTCTCGCTCGCTGTAGTCAGGGTGTCTCTGTATCAGATTGAGACCTCTCGCACGCGCAAGCTCTATCGCTTGGTCTGGCTGGACATTAGCAACTGAACCACCCAACGTACTCCAGCCACACTACCACGGGGCGCAGCAACAGGACATACCCAAATAATCTCTAGCCCAGAAAGACTTCTCAAATACAAAAAACAATCCCACAAGCATTGAGGTCCTCATCCTCCTCAACGGGTCCCACTCCTTTCCCGCCCCGCTATCAAGACACCATTTCGCGCTCTTGAACAGGGCCAGCTGCACTTCCTGGCTGATATCCTCATACTGCGACCCGATCGCCGCGATGGAGAGCAGCTCGCAGAACTGGGAGGGCGTAATCTTTGTTTGGCTGCTGATGGGATAATACGTCGCATTTATGAGCTCAAAGACCTCGTACTCGGCGAGAATATAAATGAGCGTGCTGGTGCCACGGATGAAGCCTGATATGCATTGCGAGATTATCTCCAGCGGGGGAGGGTCGTGGATGTTGTAGAACTTGTTGAGCTCTGGTCTCCGCGAATCGTAGTGGTATGATGATGGGCGATTACTGCGACCACTGGCACAGCTGGTGGAATCAGCAGCTGGTGGAGACCGACGGGAGGTGGAGTCTGCGCTGGAGACTCTCCTTGCTGCTAGACAGTGAGAGCGCGCATATACTCGGACCATGTCCGGGGTTGCTTCCCCCGCTGCTCCTGCGAGCGCTGAGCTCAGAGGTGGGAGGATGAGGTTTGTGGGAGGTTGTTGCTGTGGTTGCTGTGGTTGCCGTGGTTGCTGTGGTGGGGGGGATGATTGAGTAGATTGGGTGGGGGAAAGAGCAGAAAGAGGTGGAGGAGGAGGAGGGCTGCTAGAACCTTTCATCTTCTTCTTTGGCTTTGTCCTTCTGCTTCTTCTTCTATTTCAACGTCTTTTCAAGCTCTCTTTTTTTTTTCCCCCTCTCTTCTAGCAGGACTTAACTATGGGGGCCATTGAAGCTCTTATACAAGAACTTTTGCCCCTCTTGGTTGACTGCGCGGTATTCAGGATTAATGGTCTCCAGCTATGATCATACCAGGGCCTACGGTAGGCGGCATCGTCATCCTGTGGTGTTGTGTCGCATAGTAGTTTGAGTTGAGACCCAAGCCAAAGTAATGGCGTATGCCTAGGGGGAAACTTATCCCAAACCTGAAGAAAATGACCAATTGCCGAATTACTCTACATGCAATTAACCAAAAAAGAAACGCTCTCTCTCTCACTCTCTATCACTCTCTTGTTACCTTATTTCCACCCCTACATATGTACAATACGTATGTAAACAGGTGGCGGGAAAAGAAAAAAAAAGAAATCCAGCACCCTGGATCCACGATTACTCTCACATATGCGGCTCTTTTTTTTGCACCGAAGCTCTGCCCCTCCTTTGAACGACTAAAATCCAATCTCGATAGGCGATTGTGGTCATCCAGCTGACCAGACCATGCGAGAAGGACCCTTAGAGTGGTGTATGTATCTATCTACGACCCTAGCTATGTGTGGTAGAGTAGCTGTCTGTTCCCATGTGCTGGGATTTGAGCAACGTCAAGGATCTCATACGATTGTTGCAGATAAAGAAGGCGTTCTCTCTCCACCGTGATTGGCTCGTGAGAGCAAATACGTACTCCAAATGAAACCAACATGCACGTGAATGGAATAGGGACAATATACCGGGTGCAGATCTGGTAGATACAACTCTAATATCTCTACTCTACATGACTGTCTGTTGGGACGAAATATCAACTAGGTACTTGCTGATGTCTATCTCCAGTCAAAAAGTGTTTGAGGCGCCAGTCAGTGGGCCCTAGATACTAACGATAGATACATGGAGATACATACATGAAGTTACATGCACCCTGAGGCCCCAGAAATAACGAATGAGTACTTAAAGTGTCAATGACCGTGCTCCTTTCGGCCGTATGGACCTCGATCATGCATGCCGCCAACAGCACGTAATAATTATTCTAAACTGGAGTAACTAGATGGTAATTCAGCCATCTTCATCAGCCAAACAAAGGGCTTGCAATTGGTTCACCGACGTGAGCACGGGGCAGGAAAATCAAATATCCGCTTTGTGGCTTTTTTTTGCTTGCTAACGTTTATAAGAGATAGACTTAGTCATCCAACACCATTGGACAAGCCATGTGAAATCTGGTCGCCGGCGAGAGTGATTCGTTTCCTGTGCTGCGTTTTCTTTTCCTTGTCTAACTCTACTGACGCGCATGGAGAAACCAGAATCAGATCGGGGAGGCGTTTTTATTTATTTATTTCGTGCTTTATAGCACCCCGTGGAAAGTGATGGATCCCTTTTATTTCGATGGCGGTCGGTCGTCGTTACTCTACATATATCTGGTCACGTCTCATCCTCCTATCCCATTTCTCTAACTTTACCGCGTACCCTGGACATGGAGCTCTCGATTGGCCCGGTCTAGATCAATGGGATCCAGTGCCAATGACCTGCCTTACTTGCCTTCTTACCTACCTATCTCGTTGGCTGCGTGAGGGTATCCCATTTTTTCCATCATGTTTGGGAATGCTGCCAAATACTTATGTATCCCCCACCAGCGCTGCTACTCAGCCCAACAAGGCAGCGGGCATCGAGCGTTTCGGCGGCTACGGTGGCGACATTCCCCTAACCACACGCGTGTGAATATAACATGACAGATACTGTAAATATAGCACACATACAAACATAGGACTTTAACTCTCCACACAATTCCCATACATGCTCTACCGACATATGTGCTCAATCCAATTTTCCCTGCGTGTCCGCAAAAGAAGCAAAGTCTAGGCCTCGCGACGCCCGTGAGAAGAAAAAAAAAGCCACATGGTTAATTAAATCCGATTCCCCATGCCTGCAGGTACGATCCCACCATACAGATGACAGCTATCAAGAACCACTGTAGTGGACTTCAGAATGATTGAGTGCGGAACTTTGTACCGGTGGATTTTTGAGGCTTTGCTGCGAGTTCCAAATATGGTTGCGCGGGGGGGGGGGGGGGGGGGTTTGGTGTTGGGAACTCCCTGGAGTTGATGGCAGTTGATGTGAGGCGGGGATATTCACCTATGTACAGAATGTTGTCCCCCCCCCCGGGTTGGCTTTCCGTCTCTGTAGGCGGGGAACGCCAAGAGGCTTTCGATTCTGCAGGTCCAGACGAAGTGGCAGGCAAGACAGGAACACTCAACACTCAACAACACAACATCCTGAATCCTGATCAACATCGAGCGGGAAAAAAAAGACACTCTGAAGATTTAAGATACACACAGACGTCGCTATTGAAACCCACGATATACCTTACATATTGCAGAGACACAGACAAACAAACACAGGCAAAAGCCACAATTGGAATACAAACCATACGCCGTCTGGTTCAGTTAGGATCGACGATTAGAACCCTCAATATAACCAATTAATCCCGAAATCTAAAAGAGGGGGAAAGGAAAAAACACAGCACACATCACACCACATGGAAACAATACTCACGTATTCATATCAACACATCAACAGCAGCAGCAGCGCCAGCAGCTACCTTCGTTGACCTTGCCTCCTCCAAATGCTCGATTTGCGTCCTCACTCTCACCATCTTCGCCGGCCATTCAAGCCACTTCTTCCATTTCTCCAGATCCCTAATACTCCTCTCGATTCTCTCCAGCTCATACTCCGCCCGCCCACCCACCCACCAATATACCTCCATCCTCTTGAGCAGCACGCAGTAATATGCAAAGATTACCAGTGCCCGTGGCCGCCGCTCCTTCAGCAGCGACACATACTTGTCACTCACGCAGATGGGCCACTGGAAGATCAACGATGTCGTGTTGTACCGCGCTTGGTCGGTGCAGCTGCCAAAGCTCTTGCGCAGCTTATGGATCGCGCTAAAATACGTCGACGACACATCCGTGTCCTTAATCTCGTCGTCATCTGACTCCGTCGTGTCCGTACATAGTCTATACAACGCATTAAGCGCCTCAGTCTCCTCACTCGAGACCCCAGTCCTCTCATAGAATTGTACTTTCAGCATCTGGCCGAGACAGCCAGATTCTACCCAGTCCCACACCTCCCTGAGAATGCTATAGACACCGCGGATAAGCGGGACCCATTCTGGGATGCTCCAGGGCTCGTTCTCGACCGCATTCCCGGGTACCAGCGGAGACGCGGTCGCGAAGACGACGATCAGTGCCGAGGCGATGAAGAGGGCCTCACAGCTATCTTTGCATATATGGGGGACCATGGCACCCAATATGCGCACGGCTTGGTCATAGTGTGCTGTGGCAGTGATGAGACGGAAGGTGCGGTTGTGGGGCTCGAGGAACGCTAGGTGGAGGGAGGAAACGGCGAGCATTGCGTGAATGGCGCATCCGCTCTTATCGGCGAAGGCAAGGCGGGGGACATCATGGGTCCACATGTCTATGAGACTCCCTGTGCTGGCCAGGAAGGAGGGCGCATCCCTTGAGTAGTGGTACATCAGTTCCAAATCCGTCGTGGTCCATGAGAACGTGAAGCCGGGGTGAGGGCTGGTGTGGGGGATCAGATGTTGATTGTTGTTCTGCTGCTGCTGATGCTGCTGGTTCTGGAGCGGTGGAATGAAGGTATTAGGAAGGAAGGCTCGAACAGCCGTTACCAAGGGAGAAGGGGACCCGATATAACTATCTGGGGTCGAGGCTGGTGGTGAGAGTAAACTGCTGCTGTTGCTGGCGTTGATGGTATTCTGGACGGTTATCGTACTACTGGGAGTACTAGCGATGTCGCTGGCGCTGCTATCATTGACACTACTACTACTCCCTCCACCATTGCTAAAGTCACATTCAATAGCATGCTTGATACAGTTCCCGCAGGCAGGGTGGACCTCATCGCACTGCGCAGATCTAACCATCAATAACAATAACAAAGCAGCAAGATCTAGACGTGGTGAATATAACTTCACCGACGACCCTAAATCTGCGTGGGGAACGCAAGTAGTTTATATAGAAGCTAATAACTTACATACCTTTACTCTTCTCTTCTTGCATTTCGCGCAGCCATTCCGAGACTTTGTATGTGTGCGTCGAGGAGGCATTCTGTAGTATTTTGCTAGCTACACTGGCTGATGGATAATTGATCCTGATTGGATACGACGTATACGCTGGCTGGAGCTCTCCTAATCGTATCCCGCGCCGTACTCGTGACCGTGTATAATGAGATCGATGTTGAGGAAAGCAAAAAGCAGAAAGCATGTAAAGCGAGGGAGCAGAGACAGAACGAAGCTGCACGGATCCGAGTACGACACACACTTCCGAATACGAATACCAACAACACGAACACGGTCTTGGCATGCCGCACGGCGGGTAACGGCACGTTCTGTCAGGGAGGAGGGAAATGGTCAAGGATGCAAGAATTTATAATAGCATCACAGTACGGTTCAGCGATACTACGTATACCAGCTACCGGTTTTTCTATATTTACACACATATAGAAACACAATATCGTCTATTACATATATTAAGAGACACACAAATACGAATAAACAAAAGCAACATATATGTAGGTACTCTACCACATACCCACATGATGTACTCGTAGTTTTTTGACGTTTCCGGACGCGACCACTATTGCATGCCATACAAAAGATAGCCTTGGCGGGTTTTTTCTGTGTATGCAATAGCAGTTGCGTCCGGAAACGCTGTGAAATTGCGAGTATACAGTCGCACCTCGCTGTACTGAACGTGCATAATCGGGCGCGACTCGTTCCTTATAGCAAAAACTTCCTTACAGCAAATTTTACAAAAAAAGGGTTAGGGTTTCTTCATGCGGTTCCCCCTATTTTTGGTGGTTCTCACCAGTTTTTTGGCAGTAGTTACAAGTGGACTCTGGAACAGTAAAGATACCTATATTGTAGTTAATTGTGGAACTCCTGCGATCACTGAAAAAAAAAAGCTCCATCAATGTGGAGAAAAACATAAAAAAATATGGAAAGATTAAGCAAACACTTCGTTAATCACTAGCAACCGTAAAATAGTTGAGGAATTTGAAGAAAATTTGGGGAGATCAGGTGAAAATTTATGTTCAAAACAGAGTGATAATTCCTTACAGCAGATTCAGTTTGTATGGGAACAGGGGTGTGACAGGGATGTTTGATTTCGAGATTTCATCCACTACACTAAAGGCGGTTTTTTCCTTATACAGAGGTTTTTTTGGTGAGGCGGAAAACAATCCTCAAATCTATTTCCTTATAGCAAATATTCCTTAACCTGGGGTTCCTTAATGCGAGGTGCGACTGTATATACGTACCCACATATATACTCTACATGTACATACGTATACCTCTCCACCGTATAGCTCCACAGAGTACAACTCCCGCAAAACAAAAAACAAAAACAAAAAACCTTCAACCAAAACAAACCCTTAACTGCCTACATAGCCACGTGCGTCTCTCGCTTTTTTCTAGAAGGCAGGATTTTCAGGGGAACAGAGCAAAACCAAAGGGACCCATCTCCGTTAACCGCATCGACACGATCGCGGCCCGCGGCATGGGTAGATCACTGCTGTAAACCCTAACCCTGTGCACCAACCCCGCCCTTCCCCGGATTCGGGCATGTGTGAAAAAAAAAAAAAAAAAAAGCGGGGGTTGCGCCGACCGACCGAGATGCCCTAAGAGCTGGGTACACGTGTCTGCCGCAGGGGATGCTCCGAATAGAAAAATTCGGGTTATCCTTCTGAGGTCGGTTTTTGCCGTCGCCGCTGTCAGTGAAGACTAGCCGCTCGCTTTCTTGCGGCTATTTAAGCTTTGGTGCTTTTCCCCCGTGGATGGTCGTGAAAAGTTCCTGGGAGACCAGCTTCTCAGTCCGTGGAAGTATCTGGCTGTGTAACGTGGGCTTATTATTATTAGTGGCTACAACCCACGCCACACAGCCAAGTGCTCGAGCTCATTGAGGGAGTTTGTTCCACTGAGCGGGGAGCTGGTCTATGGATTTTTTGCTGTAGCTTATTTTGGCCTGATTTCCTGTGCGGATAGCGGGTATCGTTGAGATCAACGTTAACAATGTTTATTGATGAGCTTGAAGAGTAGGCTGTATACGTACACATACATATGCCCATGAGTGATATCTCATGAACCGCCCAATCAAAGTCCCAAACTCGAGCTCGTGACGATGAGTAGAGAATACGCCACTTGGATATGAGAATCTTTGTCAATAACTCAGTAGCTGTTTGTCTGCCTTGGGAGTAGGTCTCCTGATGTGGTATCAAGATGGTTTTGCTAGGTGCTGTGTCGATGAATCTTTCAATACGAGCTCCCCTTGCTTTAGGTAGTTTGTTTGCGAAGGATTACCTTAGCCGCGCCTTATTAAAAGACCGCTATCCGTAATTTTATTCTTTGATGATTTGTCGGGAGACCTAGTGCTCCATGTATGTGCCAGGTGTTCCTTGATTTCGGAATCATAGAGTATCACTCGGAGTGATTTTGCAATGTAGAGGAATCTTTTTTTCAACTATCCTAGAGCGGTATCTGTTGAGAGAAATAAACACCATAAGCGTATGATTTCATGCACTGTAGTTGGTGTCAGTGATTGGGATGCGCGTACATACCCACAACGTAACCTGTAATTTGTTCTTCCCTTGGAATCATATATTAGGGAAGGAACAATTAAACCGACAACGAGACAGAAACCCCCCGTCACTAATAAGAGCGATCTAGAGATAAGGTGATAAGGAGACTGACTGATAATATAGTTATATCTGTAGCCGGTATAGTCTTGGCTATATTCGAGTGATACGTTGTGACTGCGTCTCGTATATACAGAGACCGATACCTCCTTTTAAGGATTTTTCGCAATTAAACAGGGTTTCGGCAGAACCCTTAGAAAATCTTTGTAATCGTTTTCCTACTTCTTTCTCTCTCGGGGCTCTCCCCGGGGTCTGGGGTTAAGTTCTCTAGAGATTGAAGGAAACTTTGAGGAACGCTTGCCAGTTACTTATCTGTAGACGGTGTTTGTGTTTCAGTGTGGGATGCTCGCAGGCCGTGAGCAGAAGAATTCATAAAGAGAAATAATCAAAAAAATGAGGCTCAAAATGACTTCAGTGGAAGTTGAGGGTACGATTAATTCCTGGAATTCAGTTAAGTATCTTGAATGGGCTCTTCTATGGACAGGGCGCAAAAGCATTCATGGCGGGGATTACCGAGAACGAAGTCGAGCCGAGATGAAAGGATGATGATTCCCTTAGATGAACAACGTGCGAGAAAAAACCACTTTGTACTAAATCTTCAGAAGCACAAGTCGCCAATATATATATGAATTATGCTTAGATAGGTACAAAATGATACAGTATCCACGGACATTAGAAATTTTTCACATAATCTCTCCCGTCATCAATCTTTTCTACATGATTCACGTTTCTCATATATTTCGCTTAACCAACCCAGAACGAAGCCTTAGACTTGAGACTCTCCGAGCTGTCACCAACCGACACAATAAACTCTCCCTTCTCAACAACAGACTGGTGCCTTGTGTTCCATACCGCCAAGGTGCTAACATCGACGTCAATCTTGACAGTCTTCTCTTCGCCAGCCTTCAAAGCAACCTTTGCAAATCCCTTCAACTCCTTGTTGGGCACGACAACACTCGCAACCTTATCGGTGACATAGAGCTGCACAACCTCTGTTCCATCAACCTTGCCGGTATTCTTCACCTTCAAACTAGCAGTGACAATGGCATCGGCAGTGACGTTTGTCTGGCTGAGAGTGACATTTGTGAATGAGAAAGAAGTGTAACTCCTTCCGAATCCGAAAGGATACAGTGGGAGAGAGCTGGACAAAACGTATTGGTGTCCAAACTTCATCGTTCCATTCTCATAGATCGCACCGCCATCAACATATCTGCCACCCTTGAGGTAGTCGTAGTATGATGGAGCAGTTCCGATATCACGCGGGATCGAGATTGAGAGCTTTCCAGAGGGGTTGTAGGATCCAAAGAGAATATCAGCCAAGGCATTGCCACCTTCCTCGGAGGGGTAAAACTGTTGAACGAGGGCAGCAGAAGAGTTGGAGACCCAGGGCTCAGTGATGGGCTTTCCGGATGAGAAGACAACGACAGTGTTCTTGTTGACCGCGAGGATTTCACGGACGAGGTCTGCTTGGGCGCCAACGAGGTTGAGGCTGTGTACGTCTACGTGTTCACCGGTGGTGGCATTGAGACCGGCCCAGAGCTCATTCTGATCTCTACTCCAGGTTCCAACAACAATGACTGCGACCTCTGCTTCCTTTGCAGCAGCAATTGCCTCGGGGAAGCCGCTCTGATCATTGCTCCATCTTTCGCAACCCTGCGCGTAGGTAACCTTTGTGTTTGATCCCTTGAGAGCGTTGTTTATTCCGTCCAAGGGAGTAACACCACGGTATTGCGATTTGTAGACAACGTAATCACCATACTACATTTTGTCAGTGGCTAATTTTAAGTTAACGTATCGAGGTGTATGGAAACTCACGTTCATGAAACCATGGGCCATAGGCCCAAGGACAGCAATGCTCTTGACCTTCTTCTTGTTCAAAGGCAGGACGCCATTGTTCTCAAGCAAAACGATACTTTCACGGTCAATCTTCCTGGCAAGGGCTACACTCTTGTCGGAATGAATGATCTTCTTCCACTGGTCTTCAGGGGCGGCAATGTACGGGTTCTCAAAAAGGCCCATGATGAATTTGGTACGAAGGATGCGAGAGACAGCAGTGTCCAAAATCTCGATATCAAGCGTTCCATCTTCCAACAGGCCAGGAATTGCGCGGTAGTTGCTGGGAGTATCATCAGTGATGGTTCAAACCAGAGTTAGGGTTTAGACTTACAATGAACCTCCACCCATCTCAACGTCGTTACCAGCAGTAAGGGCAAGCATGGTGACAGCTCTCTTATCACCCTTCTCACAGAGACCGTGGTCATTGCAGAGTTTATCAGAACCACCGGCATCGGTCATGACATGGTACTTGAAGCCCCACTCCCCTCTGAGAACTTCGGTCAGAAGATGGTAGTCTGCAGCTGATGGGATTCCGTCATATGAGTGGTAAGCACTCATAACACTCCATGCATCTGCATC